GGCAGGAGTTGCCCTTACACAAATGTTGAATGCTGCAAGCATGGTTTCCAGAGACAAGAAATTTGTCAAAGCGAGGAAGGGCCAAAAGTGTTTAGAGGGAGAAATGGAGAAACCAGTCATGCGCACTTGTTTTCCATTCACTTGTTTTCCATTCTCTTGAATACCATACTGATGAGTGTTTGCACCATCAGAGGGAATACCTTGAAAAATTGGCCGCTGCAAAGCAGCCTGTCGTGGGATTGACCAAGGACAAGAAATTCACATCTATTGACCCAAGCCACTACACCTGTGCTGATATCAGCATCAGAAAATCTGGTGTGAAGATAATGCTGGACAAATGGCAATGGGGGAACACCCTTGTTATAGTGCAGCTCAAATTTCAAACCAGCATTCTTAATGACAAAGGAGAACTCAACAGCAGTGCTGAAGCAATGGAAGCTCTTGTCCAACTCACCAAAGATGCACATCAGCTGATGTTGTCCTCTGACCAGTGCTTTACGTTTGTGGTCGCTATTGCATTCAACAAGGCAACTTTGTTTTGCTTTAACACAGAGGGCTTCTTTGCTAGCAGGCCTTTCAATTGGCTTATAGAGAAAGCAGTGCTGCCTGAGTTTCTTTACCAAATCTGCCATCTGGATCCGGATTTCCCTTCCACAACATTGGGCAAAGATGATACAATCTCTTTGACTGACGCTTCCATAAAGAAGAGAATCTAGGCTGCACTCCAAACGCCCAAGGCAGAGGATGAGGCTGAAGATGAGGATGTTGCTGTGTTTAGGAATGAACAATGGACAGTGGGGCACAGTCCCTGTCTGACGGCCGCCATTTTTGAAGAGGTCACTGGAGAGCATGTGCTAGTCCCAGTGAAATGCTACACGATCAGTGAGCCGCTTTGGCATTCACATGGACTGTTTGGGCGGGCCACGAAAGTGTTCTGTGTCATGATTAACAAGGATCCCAAAGCATACGAGCAGAGCTTGGGTGGCAATGATCTGTTACCTTGTCCACCACTGTATGCGCTAAAGGATTCATGGAGGCAAGGTTGCTGCCATCCTGAAGTTGATTACTACGATCTCATCAAGCTCTTCTGCAAGTCAGAGAAGGGCCATGCACTCATCAAGCAACTCAAGCTGGACGACTCTGATATAGCGCAGTGCATCAGCAGTCTTGATCTCTCTGATATACTCAAAGATGTGACAATCAACCCAAAAACAAAGTCAATAATAAGAATGAATTCCAAGACTGGGGAATACAACACAATAGCTACTGTATTTATACTAAGTCCAGTCTGAGTCATATCTACATCAAACGAGTCATGAGACTATGTATCATGTGGAGTGCTGGTCATGGGTTGTGGTAGAACCTTCTGGAGCACACACTGCACAGCCTCTGTACAAATAAGACCTCTGAACCCTTAACCCAGACCATGTGGTGTTGTGATCTGTGATAAGATAATCCCATGTCAAGATAAGATAAGATGATCAAAGAAATGATGAAAAAGTGATCAAATCATGACAAAAGACTTTTGTTTCAAGGATGGAATGGGACCTGACTGGGATACTGCCCAACACAAAACCACATTGCTAGCCAGAGATGAGCTTGTTAGATGTGACTGAGTCTCGGTTGCATCTTGATAAGATTAGATCAGTTTTGGTGGATCAATGTAGCCTGGATGGTGAGAGCCCCTAACAGTTCTTTCATTGTACCAGGTATGTGTAGTCTAGGCCTGCTGGATAGCTCAGCTAACAAACAGTTCTCTCATTGTACCAGAATAAATATATTCCTCTCATCACAGGCTGCATTGTTATCACACTTGCACATTGATAACCTCAGTTGGGACCAAGTTGTCCAAATTCGTGAGCACTGGAGCCCTCGTCACTGCTGTGTACTATGCTGCGTGCTGTGAGTAGTCCTCCTTCACTGCTGACTAACTGCTGATCTTGCATTCAGATTTATTTATTGTGTTCATGGCCAGGGTCCTCCACTGGGATGTCAGTGATGGCAATGTCATGTTTGCGGAGAAGAATGGTTGCAAGCTTCCTCGGGGCTTCCTCTCCGACTGGGACTACACCAAGTTCACAGAGGAAGGGCTCAAAACCTTCAAAAAACACTTTGGCCCATGGCTGCACAGTGATATATATGATTCTGTGGACAAGAGCCTCAAGCACTTCACAGTACGTACTCCCTCTTTTCCATGACTCGTTGCTGAATGTATTCATCAGGGCACATGGCCGTTCCTTGCATTGGATGTTACGGAGCACAGTGTCCAGAGTGCGGGCCAATCTGAGCAAAGTCTTGAGACTAAATCACGATTCAAGCAAGGCCCACACCATGATCTCAAGTTGTTGTACTGGCTCCTGGTGTGGTTAGGAACCCACCCCAGATGCCACCGCCATCATTACATAACAGACCCCATGGGTACCTACTGGGTACCCATAGACATAGCTCTATGGGTACCCAGTAGGTACCCCCCTGGTGGAGGCACAGGGGGCAGGGTCAGGAGGGGGGGATGATACATATCATGTGATTTATCCTGTAGATCAGGCAGATGGGTGGGAGAAAAAATAGAATCATGTGAGGCATCAAATAGGCAGGGGATGGCAGGATAAAAAAAATCATGTGATGAAACACATGAGATTTCAAAAATGTTGGTGGGGTTGGCGGGGGTGTTGGCGGGGTCACTACCGCCCCCTCCCACACACCAGGGTGGACAGTGGGCACATTATCACATGACTTTTTGGAGACTTTTTTTGCACTGTTTAGCATAGTTTCTGTTGTGCTCCTAATACATTGTATGTTGTAGCCGGTTGGTAGGCAGATGATCACGTGACTTTTCACAAATAAAATAAAAATAGCAGCTCCAAATCATCCAACTGGGATTTCAATAGCTTGGTTCAATTTTAACCATACATTTGAGCTTGAAAACCCAAAATTGTGAATCCAATCCTGGTGGTGGCTTGGGCAGGGTTGATTGCGGGGATGCATAAACCTCTGCCCACCCCTATTGGTACCCCGCCACAACCCTCGCCATCACCCCTGCCATCACCCCTGCCATCACCCCTGCCACAACCCCTGTCATCACCCCTGCCACAACAGTGCACCTGCCAAATGTTGATGAACCTCAGGATGACTTTCTACATTTTCAGTACTGACACCCAAGTGACTTCAAGCTATCCTCTACCCAATATTCAATGAAACAGCTTTACCTTTGTTTTATGTAGGCAACAATTGATTTTATAAGCTTGGGTTGCTTACCACACATTTTGTTAAGAACAAAAGTTGTATAGTGGAAGGTAGAGAGCCAAAGCATTGTCAGATATCCTATTCAACATAACCAGTGGCTTACATCTCATCAAACTGGCCCATATCTTACATTCAGAAATATACTATGTTTTGAATTCATTCCATGTTTTTGAATTTTTCCAGAGTCCAGAACTCCCAAGACTTGATTCAAGCAATGTCAAAGAGTGTATCTTTCAGTTGTGTGAAGTTGGGCCCTTGTAGAAAATATATTTTGTGCAATACCCAAAGTGAATCATGTTGAAGTAGTCTCTACATAGGAACCTTACCCAACCATGGACTGTTTCGATGTTTCAAATTTTGAACAGACAAAGGACATGAATTAGCATTACTCATAGTCAGCAAAAGTTTTGGTCAGTTGATCAATATATTGCCGTTTTCCCATTCAAACAGAACTCTGTTGCCCTGGAAAAGTTAACAGGGGTGAATGCCTATTCCTATAGACATCAGATGACACCACTAATGCAATCACTAATAAGCTTTTGTGGCCTTTCTAGCTGATTTCTGAAACTGTGATATAATGACTGTAGTGGGGTATTTTTCAGTGTTATTGGAGATGTGGCTCTCTATCTTCGTCTTGAGGGCCTGTGAAGTGCCACTTCATCTGATGCTGGTGTCATTTTGTCATAAATCCCCTCATTAAACAGGTACAAATAGAATGTTGTTGATTGTGAGCATTTTTGATGCAAAATCAGACAGATTTGATAGCATCAATGGTCTGGGGGGGCCAAGGTGAGCTTCTAGTTCATGCATACAAGTTATTTTGGCAAGATTAAGCTATCCAGTCCTACAATAATCCAGGGAACTGACTGACCAAAACTTTTGCTGGGTATGAGTATATTTGATAAGAGTAGCATAGGGAGACATTATTCCAATGATTTTTGGCTGCATAAATGTAGGGAAAGTGTCAGAAGAGCAGAAAACACTGGGGTACAACCTTCATACAGGTTCTAATTGGCTAATGAGTTAATGTGTTCTGAGCTGTCACTTTACATAATATTACATATTTGGAGATGGCAGGGGCAAGTGCACCACTGCGGTGGGGGTGACAGCAGGGGTGATGGCGGTGGTTGCAGTGGGGGTGATGGCAGGGGTGATAGCAAGGGTTGCAGTGGGGGTGATGGCAGGGGTTGTGGCAGGGGTGATGGCAGGGGTGATGGCAGGGGTGATGGCGAGGGTTGTGGCGGGGTACCAATAGGGGTGGGCAGAGGTTTATGCATCCCCGCAATCAACCCTGCCCAAGCCACCACCAGGATTGGATTCACAATTTTGGGTTTTCAAGCTCAAATGTATGGTTAAAATTGAACCAAGCTATTGAAATCCCAGTTGGATGATTTGGAGCTGCTATTTTTATTTTATTTGTGAAAAGTCACGTGATCATCTGCCTACCAACCGGCTACAACATACAATGTATTAGGAGCACAACAGAAACTATGCTAAACAGTGCAAAAAAAGTCTCCAAAAAGTCATGTGATAATGTGCCCACTGTCCACCCTGGTGTGTGGGAGGGGGCGGTAGTGACCCCGCCAACACCCCCGCCAACCCCACCAACATTTTTGAAATCTCATGTGTTTCATCACATGATTTTTTTTATCCTGCCATCCCCTGCCTATTTGATGCCTCACATGATTCTATTTTTTCTCCCACCCATCTGCCTGATCTACAGGATAAATCACATGATATGTATCATCCCCCCCTCCTGACCCTGCCCCCTGCACCTCCACCAGGGGGGTACCTACTGGGTACCCATAGAGCTACATCTATGGGTACCCAGTAGGTACCCATAGGGTCTGTTATGTAATGATGGTGGTGGCATCTGGGGTGTAGGAACCCGACACACCGTGCACAGACATTCGGATGGCAACAAGACATGCACAAAACTGTTTGATTCGTTTCTGTATCTCAAATGTGTACTACATCCACACTGTCCTTCTGATTTCCTTTTCACTGTAGCCAGAGCAAGGCTAATTAGCGTCGCCCGATTCACATTGACTGAAATTAGACACTGCAGAATTTCGCTCGCACTCAGAGTTGCTCGCGATAATGTGAGGGCAGGAGCTTGTGAATTATGTCTAATCTAATCTCTCTAAAATCAGATATGAGGGTCAATGATGATCGATCGGTCTCGGTGTACATCCGGGACCATCATGGCAACGCTCCAGGACGAACGAACCCACACAGAGAATATCATCAAGGAGCAGCCAGATGAAAATGGAGTACCAGGAGATCTCGCGCCGGAGGAATCACCTCGCCTCTCGAAAAACGCGATGAAAAAAGCTGCACGTCGGGAACGGGCCGAGGCGGTGAAAATGGAACGTCGTGCGCGCGAAAAGGCCAGCCGCAAGGAAAAGAAACGCGCTATTGCTGCGAAACGTGCTGCGGGAGAACTAGACGAGGACGACGTACCTAAACCAAAGAAGCCGAGGATCGTCGGGCCACCGTTTGGAGGGAGAGTTGTTGTGGATCTTGGGTTCGACGAGAAGATGACTGAGAAGGTGCCCTTTCCCTTTTATTGGATCCTGCGGCTTAAAACAGGCTACGGTTTACTCAGGAAGTCCAGTCTCTCTGTTCGCAATTGGCCTACACCTACAGCGCCAACCGCCAGGCTGGCAACCCCTTCAAGCTTCTGTTCACCGCTATCAACGGTAAAACCAAGGCGCGGATGGACAGCTTGAGCGATGGGGCATATCAACGATGGAGTCACACGGAATCGTGGGAGGAAGGATACGAGCGTTTATGGGCGGAGGATCCAGCCGTGAAGGACACTGTGGTGTATCTGACCGCGGACTCTGATGTCGAGTTGACCGAGCTCAAGCCGGACGAGACCTATGTCATAGGTGGAATTTGCGACCATAATCGATTGAAGGTCCGTGCAGTCCGTCTCAGGTGCGTTCAAGCTGTGCTCACGCGAAAGGAAAAGAACGAATGCTACAATAAAGCTACCGCTTCCGGAATCCGACATGCCCGACTCCCCATCGGCACATACCTGTCTGAGCTACGCACTCGTAAAGTGCTCACTGTTAACCAGTGCTTCGAGATTCTCGTCCAATGGGTGGAGACAAGGGACTGGGAATCTGCATTCTATGCCGTCATTCCAAAGCGCAAGTTCGAAGAACATTTCAAAAACAGTAAGAAAGATCATGACCCTGCGCGAGAGGAACCAGCCGAGGACGAGGTACACGACGAGGGCAAGCTTGTTCTGAGCATCGAACAACTGGAGGAACCAGAAGGAGAAGCATAAGACCATCGCATATGTTATCCTCCAAGGCACAATTGTACAACTACAACAATCGTTAGTGGATCTAAGCCCACTACAGATGCAACATCTATACATACTGTCTACATGAAGTCGTCGGCATTCGACCCGAAATCGTCGAGTGCCTCATCGTATGCACCGGTATCCACTCTGTCAACGGTCCTTGAGAGGGGTCCTTACCTTAACATAGGAAGAACGCACCTGCTGTTCGCTTTTGCTGCACCGAGAACAGGCTTGTTGGACTTGACTTTCTTCTTCCCACTGGCCTTGTCCCTCTGCTCCTTTTGCTTCTCGTTCGACAGCGCTGTCAATCCACTCGCGACTTTGCGCACTTCAACGTCTTTAAGAGGTTCACAAAGATCGCGAGCAAACTGCTCTACAAACGCGGTGTAGAGCGGTTTGGACTGATGGCGCTTGATGATGACTTCTATTATCTGGTTAGAGAGCTTGACAAAGTCATCCTTTGTTCGCGGCTGAGCGGAGATGAGCGAATCGAGCTCGACGGAAGAGGTGCCTAACATCAAGATTTCTGTCAGCCCTTGGTAATCCTTGCCGAAGGAAAGTGTCAAACCTCCGAGAGCAGCAGACCCAAAGAGTTCAGCTGCGTTGTTGAGATCGGCATTGAGTTCTCTTTCCTTATCTCGGCGCGCTTTCTCTCTTGGATCAAGCGCGAGATCGGAGTCGTAATCATCATCCGTGCCAGCCTCTAATCGCGCAACTCGTGCTGCTTCTTTCTCCGCCAGTTTCTGCTTTATCGTGCCCTTTTTCTTGGGTGGCGCGGAAGATTTCGCAGGGGCAGGTTTTTCTTCATCGTCGCTGGAGGCATCCCAGTCGCTCTATCTTATCTCAGAGATTGGGCGCTGTCGGATACAAGATATACACACAGCTGGTCCATTATCATCCTCGTCTTCTCCATCCCACTTTGCGTTCTTCTTCACGGGAACGGGCGCGGACGGTGCGGGTTTGCTCGACTCGTCGTCTGATGCGTCTGCGATTTGCCCAATGAGACTGCGATCCTTGAGGCACGACTAAAAATCGACAAACCCCAGTCAGACATCTGCGAAAAAGAGCGAGTCGAGATTCTGCGAATTCAGGTATGAGAGGGGTGGTCGTGTGTCGGCTCAAGACTCAGAAGAAGCCGTTCAGTGTCCAGGACAAGTGCAGAGGACTGTTTGGTCATGTGTGGAAATTTCTGAGCCTTTCGTCACAATTTCACTTCTGATCCAAGATGGCTCAAGATATTTGTAAATACGACTGAATACTAGGACTTGAGAGCCGAAATAGCTTGTATTCCATGGGACGATACTCCTGGACTTCGGCGATCCAGTCTCTCAGCCACTTTCCCTTGTCATATCTGTCCTCCGGAATCTCAATCCCCGTTTCTTTTTGGACATCTAGCGGCTTGATTCGCACGGTGATGGGATCCTCATCGTCGGGAAGATCGAGGGCATGAGAACCCGCCCTCCGCGCGATTGAGACCACTGCAGCATAGTCAGAACTTACTCCTGGCCAGCCTCTCAGTTTCGTCACTTGGTCTCTTGGAGATGTTCCTCCAGTTTCAGGCGTCAAACGGTCTCGGATCGCTTTAACTTGTGACATCTCTGCATCCAAGCTGCGCCAGCGCGCGCGCCGTTGTCCTGATCGGGGGAAGAGTGTCAGGCCGCCTTGGCTCAATCGCTCTCATTCTCTTTGCGGAAAAGGCCTCAGATGCAGGTCATCCTCGGGTTCGCCTCGAAGCGCATCATCTAGAGTCTTAGATTTCGCTGCAGGAGAGGCACTTTCCTTAGTTTCCCCTCAGCAGCGTGTTGGCTTTGCTTGTACTGTCAGATCGGTCTGTGTCTCGCCAGATCGTTTGCTGAGTCAGGTTTCAGCTTCATTGGATCGGAAGTTACTCTTACAACGCAGTGGGAGTATATTTTGGCACTCAACGACTGGGGCATTGTTAAGTGCAGTAGTGGAAATTGAGAAACAAGCAATCCGAGGCAGCCCCGTGTAACGCTCAATAAGATGGTGATCCCGCTTCAAAAGAAGGGGACGAACCCGCAACTTTCGCATCGCCTGAGTTCTTGGTGATCGTAACACTTGTCATTCGAGCATCGTTGCACAGGAGCCTCTTCGCATTTCTTGGGTCGTCCTCTATCCCATCGTCCACGATGAAAAGATTGAATGGAGTCGGTGCTGGAAAACTAAATACAACTGCGTCAGACGGTGCACTGCCTGGCTACTTTTCTTCTGGTGTGATCACCGGTCCAGCTATCTCGAATCGTGAGTAATATCAAGCGAATTGAGAGAAAAACAGACCAGGGCACTCAGGCACCACTGGACGCGGCTTTAGAACGCGCGCAAAGTAAGGCGCAACTTGCAGCAATTGTGACCGTGCATCACGTGTCCGTTACGTTACGCGTTACTTCAGGCTCCCTTGTGCCTTCTTGAATCAACCTCAGGGCTCGTCGACTCTTTATAGTCTTCAGCTTCCTTTGCTAACTTTCGGCATACAAAGATGTCAATCTCACGATCCCATCTATTAAAACTTGCTATTCCTCTTGTTGCCGAAGTGAGCACCACCCACTCAGTCAGGTCGTTCGGCCCAGTGCTTACTACTTCACCTCGCAGTCCGGCTTTACTCGCACAACTTTATCCCGGTCGGTGCTGCATCTCCCGTCTCCTCACTCGGAGCCTCTATCCGACTCTGCTGTTTCTTCTCTCTTTGGTTCCGGCAATTCAGCTCAGAAGACTTTGATCAACGCATGGCTCGAGAATGGTCTGGACAATATGAAGACCGACAACCTCCCACCCCCTACTTTAAAAGAGGCTCTGCACACGAGGCTGTCCTATAACGAGGCTGTTCTAGCACATCTTCCCGAAGTCCGCTGTGTTTCTCTTCGCGAGCGTATTCCCCCAATGAACCGGCGTTTGTGCTAGGCGTTTGCTATTCTTTGCGTCCCAGAATCACGCATGGCGCTCCCGCCCCTGGATGCGGTGCCCGCGCTCAAGCATGCAGCCCATATTGCCGACCAAGCCTGCTTCGTTTCCGGGCAAGGCCTGTCGAGGGTAAGCGGTCATTTGCAGTCAGCAGCATACGTAATCACATCTTTATAGGAATCCTGGTATGCGAAACGTGCATCCATCATGGGAATCTACACTGCGGCAGGTAAAACCACTACACGTATCTCATTTTTCTCCCTCTCTAAATGCACCGTTTAGAGTTGCATCAACTCACTTCGCCGCGAACGGCTCACGCATTCCTCGATGATCTGCTTGAGAGCTCGACAAAGATTGGCCAGTCGGTCTCAGATATGAAAGAATATGCGCATTACATCTTTAGAAGCTGGGGAGGCCTTGCTCGGAGTCGCGGATGGTAAACCCTGGATATGTACATCGCGCTGTACGGTCTGCCAATATCTCAGGTCCCCAAGGGTCGAAGTTCGGTTCGAAAAGTGGCTTTGTGCGAGATCCTCAAAGCCGTCCTGAGCGTTCAAGGTGACATGCGACGAGCGGGCGCTGTGCGTCAATGGTGATGCGCTGGTTCGGCTTTCGGGGCCGAACATTCGTTCGGATCGGTGCGCCATGGCTATGCACACCACAACTCAAACTCGACTGTACACTAAGTACTTGCCAACGCGATGGCACGACTCGCGTTACTCCTAATACTTTCCTTCGTTGTCTTCACATACGCGCACTCTGACGATGATCGGAAATCTTCTGGAGGCTTCATGCCCGGGCCTGAGGTACCCATTCTTGTACGTGTCACGATGGAGGCGTGGCTTACACGTCGCTTGCCGGGCTTTCCTTTCGCGTGGGACTAAGCTCAAAGATCATTTCTGGTCAATGTAGGCATCCGAGGTCGACGACTGCCTCCCTGTGTGGCGTCTCAGTATGATCAAGAAAACCCTGGAAGCCGAGGCGTCTCCAGTGATGCGCACCGTCTTCAACTACTTGTTTCCTTTCGGGCCCGCGTGGAACTCGATTTTAGGCACATTTTACATTTCATCGTGCGTTCGCTGTTGTCATTCTCAGCTCTCGCTGTCCGACTGACGGCCCTTTCACGAAAGAGTACCCAACTTCATCCTCGCGTTCATTCCGGCGAAGATCAACGCGAACACGTTGAACACTATGACCGCATTTGCGGTACGCTCGTGGTGTTGACGACTACCTGTTCCCTGATTCATTTTGAGTCCAGACGGGTGGCCTGCTGTCGGACGTTTTCCTGCACCTCGTCCCGCATTCCTTTATGGGCGAACGCCAGGGGGATGGCGCACATTTCGTTCTGGTCGAAGAGAAACGGAACATCCTGATTGGGTCAGTCTGTTGACGATCCTGTGAGCTTACCTTGACCATGTGCAGGCTAGGGATATTCGTCGGCTTTGCATCGTTCTTTGTCATGGAGAAGACACTCCGTGTGCTTGCCGGGGATGAAGATGGAAGCGGGGGGCACGGGCATAGTCATGGCGGAGAATCGAGTGCATTAAGCTCTGGGGTGGAGAAAACATCGCCCAACGAATCGGAAGTGCGGTCTCGCAAGTCCAGCGGCAAGCCGGAGCCGGAAGAGGCCAGTGGATCCGCCAAGGCCGGAGGAGGGCCATCGAAGATGTCGGCGTACCTCAATCTATTTGGAGATTTTGTCCACAACATGTGCGATTAGCTTTCGTGGGATGTTCTTGTGCGAAGCTCACGGTCCGATCCGCAGCACGGACGGTCTGGCCATGGCTGCGTCGTTCTATGCCTCTCCACTCATAGGAGCGACGACCACTCTTGCCTGCTTTGCTCACGAGGCAGGGCCTGGACCCTTTCCGCGTTTCGGCTTTGGTTGACGACCGGACAGATCCCACACGAAATTGCGGACTATTCTATCCTCATCCGCAGTGGTTTCACGAAGCGGCAAGCCATGCAGTCGCAATTCTTGACTGCGATCGGAGCATTCGTGGGTTCTCGCACTCTTTGTCAGGACAGGCTCTCATTCGCCTTTTGTTGTTGCGCTTCCCTCTTCCTAAATTCCCACTGCCTGTTTGATTTTTGCACGTTCGCTCCATGCACGATGCTTTCGCGTGGTGGCTTCCGATCGCGCATTTAGGTCGGGTGAGCCATCGCTACCTGTTCGAGCGACTGCTCCAATGCTGATTTTGAGTAGGACATTCATTGGCATCGCTGTTCATACGGCCACTGCTAGCGATAATGCCGCAGGCCCGGCATCTCTCGACCTTGCTGCAGCAGTGCGGCAGAAATCGGACGGGCTGCTGGGGACGACGGCACAAATATCGGATCTGGTAACCCCCCGGCTATCATCTTCGCTTATTTCGGCCGCTAACCCCATTATGCCAGGTCATCCCTTTTGTCGCTGGCGGATTCATGTACATTGGCGCCGTCGCAGTGTTACCGACGTGAGATTCTTTTGAGGGTGCCGCGGACAATATTAAACTTTACCCCATCCAGATTGCTTGCAGAGAGTAAAAGCGCGGCTCAGGCGTTGCGGGAGGTACTTCTGTTTCTTGCACACCATTTTGCAGCGCACTGACTGGGGTGTGTACAGTTTTTGGCCATGGCCGTGGGTGTCCTATGCATGCTACTGGTGGCGTGAGTTCTATCTCTGTCTTGGCAGCTACTGGGAGTCTGAGCATCTGCAGGTGGAACGAGTAGAACCAGAAGCCATCGGCGAGATAGAATATCAGATTGATTTTTTGGCAACGAGGTGATGCACACGACTGCCACTTCCCAAATTCAACCCGATCCGGGACGCTGTCACTCGGTCTGAGTAGCTCCACGAGGAGATTCGGCACAGGACTGGCTGCACGTCTTCTGGGCCCATTACCGATAACGAACCGGCCGTTCATCGGGGTGGTCTCGACCTCAACGATATTGCACTTCAATCACCCCAAGTTCATGTCCTCCAAGGCTTAAAGTCTCGTACCGGTTCACGTTTGTAGCTTGACAAAACTGGCTCAAAGTAACGGATTCCTTCCGTTCTCATCTCAAAATCACGTGATCTGCATTGATCCGGTCCGTCCAGACCGGCAAGACTGCCGAGACACGTTCGTCGCATGCCAAATTGAGCCGTTGACGTCGAGGCGAACGGATTTTTTCTCCCTACCTTTGACCTGCACAAGACCACCGCGGCCTCGCGTACGTGCCTACCCTGCAACCCAGTATATATATCAACGTCCAAACTACAGGATCCGCAGGCCCCTGCCTCGAACTCTCTCCAAAACGTCCTCCGCCTGTTCGCCACAGACCGGGCGCCAGTTGCGCTCGTCACCAGCCCACCTAGCTGATGCACGCTTTGTAAACGCTACCCACGCCCCCGCCCACTTCTTGTCTTTCCCAATCATGGGTACAAAAGGCCGTTCCAGTCCCCGCATCGTCTGCTGCGCCATCCCCATTGCCCGTTCCGCCGCCCAGGTCCTCTTAATTACCAGCCGCAAGCGTCCAGATAACTGGGTCTGTGAGTGGCGCGTGCCCGTCCGGTTCCGAGTCTCGGCTGATCGACTATTCTGCTGCCCCTTACCGCAGTGCCCAAAGGCGGCTGGGAAGCGTCTGATGTTCGACTAGAGAATGCGGCGTCTCGGGAAGCATTGGAAGAAGGTCTTGCCCTCTCTACCTCTCTCTGCGGCGTCTGACGACCCCGTAGCGGGCGTACGCGGGACGATCACGCGCTACGTCACCACGCAGCATAGTCCGTCCGCCACGTACCATTTCTACGAGCTGGACGTCACCAGTCTGGATGCGGACTGGCTCGAGAGCGGCGAACGGCAACGAGAGTGGGTCGACTACGCCGAGGCCGTCCGGCGCCTGGAATGGAAAGCGGAGCTTGCTAACGGCTTTCGACTGTCGTCTCTCGCTCCCCAGCGGTGACCGAGGTCGGTCTGAGGCGGCGTTGCGGATCTATGCGAACAGAAGACGACGGGGTGGGCACTTGCTCTTCTCACACGACCCGGTTCCTCCGTCCGCGATAACGCACTGTCAATGACCATGGGCTTGCCCCGCCCAGCGCCCGGCTCGGAACTTTTGATCCTACCTTACGATCCGTTTAAACCATACCCCTCGTGGCATCGATCGCATTCTTTCCCCATCTCTCGTATACACGGATGTGTCGTATCTGCACTGATACAGTTCATCGTGCGCATGTCCCGGTCGCTTTCTTATCCTACAAGTTGACATCTAGAGTAGTAGTATATCATCCTATTTAGTAGCTGTTTCGGATGACCATTCAAGACCCCAAGTTGTAGCATACACATTTAAGTAGCCGTTCCATAAAATAGAGCTATTCAAGATACCCATCGTTCGTGTGTTCACACGCCACACCCTCTGCCACGGCCGGACAGTGTGGTTGTGCACGGATAGATATTCACGCTGCGCTGAGCTGGGCAAAATCGCTTAGCAGGCACTGATGGCCGGCCACACGACTCTTTGTAATGCACGACGTTATCGATGATGTTTCTCGCTCAGGGCGCCGAGCCCGCGAGCGTCTAGGTCTTTCTCCGGTGTTGTCCTCCTCTCCGGAAAATTATATATGGATCAGCCGGACGTAGTGCTTACAGCACTGTGCCTACGTCCACAGCATGATTCCACTACGTTCCCTTGATCTTGTTCACCGAGACGCCCGAAACCAAAGGTCGTTTCCGTTTTCGTCAGATAACTGTATGGTATCCATGTCCAGGCCCCCTGGAGGATCTCAGCTTTGGAATCGCGTGGTGTCACCTTCACGTGAGGTGTGACAAGCATCTGGACTCCAATGATTAAGCCTGTGATCCAATTGGGCGCTTGGGTGAGTGTTCGATTGGAATGATGGGCGACTGAATCGTTTTGTGTGCGTGACCCCAGAGAGTCTGACCAAGAAAGACTTGAATCAAGATGAGTCGCCATGAGCGTAACCCGAAGCTGCGGGACGGGTTTAAGTTCCGAGCAGGCCAGTCAATTCAATCTCAGCGCGGGAAGCAACGACTATTGACGCAAAGACCTAGGCACACCGACACTCTCTGGGCTGAGCGGGTCATCGAATTGTGTTTGTGCGAGAGAGACCTGAGATTGTGCTGGCGGGAGATACTTGTGATATATATGTGCAGTTTGATTGTGCACCGGAAGAACCACGGTAGGTGGGAGAAGCAGATACTTTTTCGCGATCGTCTGGGACTGCGGTTCCTGATGGGATGCGTTGAATGGTCTCGTGTTTTCACAAATCCCAAAGTCAGGTCAACTGATGCAGACGCTCCTGAGAGTTGGAGTGCAGCATTCGAGACATGAAACAGCGACTCGTGTGCCGGATGTGTATCTCGACGTCTGGTGAGAGCCAACAGATAGCGGAGGCAGACATACGAGGCCTGTACAGCCAAGAAACCCGACATATGGAGACAAGCTGCGGATATCGCTTTTTCCAGTACCGTCGTTCTCATGCCGCGCATAGATAGGTTCGATTCGGGCTGGTTCCGCCGGGTTTCTTCCCGTTGACATGTATCGGCTGCTTATGTGTGAGATGCTGAGACAAATACCTTCGAAAAACCCGGGCTCGCTGTGGATTCGGAAGACGACCATCGCCTCGCTGGCTACTAGTGTCCCGTGTGATCCGTGTTGACGCGTTCATTACATACAGGTGGTTTTCGGCCAATGAGGTCGATGTGGGTGTTGTTAGAATACAACGCGGACCCCGTGGATAGCCTGCTTGGAATTCAAATATTCGAGGGTCGATTACAAGTTTAGATCGTGGCTGTGGTGTGATTGCATCCGCTTAGATTCTATTAGTTAGATATCGAATACTGTGACCGTGATGCACCAACAAACACCGCGTACCAAGCGTGCCATTGCTTCAGCTTGTTCACCCATCTCGTCAACTTGTATGTCCAGGAAGGTCCCGAGGAGTGACTCTGCGCCTGTCCCAATGCCCATGTGCTCATCACCATCTTCGGAATTCACACGTCCTTCGGATAAGCAAGTGGTATTTTTAGCGTAGGAATATATCACCCGTCTTCCCATATTCCCGTTTTGAACACTGGCCCAAGGCAGGCGAACGCGTATCGCAGAAGCCTGTGTCTGGAGGGCTCGAAGGTTGCGTCTCATGCTGGCTGTCGCGTCCATTCTACGCGCGCTTCCTCACGACCACGAGCTCGCGCCGTGGTCCCACCAACACCACGGCACGGAGACATCAGGTTGACGTGTGTTGTTTCTTCTGCCGTCGAGAGCCACTGAGCCACTGATAACGTCCCAGATCGAGGCAGAAATAGATCACGCTCCAGGTGGATGCGGCTACAGCCCTACATCATGGCCCAGATAAAAGCAAGCTATCATTGCTCCCGCATGATCAGTGCTTCTTACGAGACCCCACTCGCCTCCCGTCATCATGGCCTCTATGGAACACGATGAAAAGGATGTTATAAACGAGAAGGCCCCTGCGACGCCCGTGGACGAGAAGAAGAGCCACTCGAACGAGGACATCGAGACGGCCGGGGACCGCGGGGACGACGAGTTCGCTGTGCTCCGCGACGAGCGCGATATCGCGACGCACGTCATCACCGTCGAGGACGACGAAACGCTCAACCCGTGGACGATCCGCGCCTTCGTGCTCGGGCTCGGTCTGTCGGCGTTCGGTGGTGTTTTAGGTGCGTTGTGTGTTCCGTATATCTGTGAAGGCTGTGGCTGAAGCCCCGGCGGCAGCTGAGATCTACTACTTCAAGCCTGTGAGAGAAATGATGTCTCTCCTGTACTCGCTTCTTTCTCACTAACCCGAATTGCTTCCAGCAAACTGTCTCCGTCTCGACCCTGTTCCTGGCTATCATCTCGTACGTGCTGGGAACAGCATGGGGATCTCTCCCGCGAGGCAAATCCGGATTGCTCTACTGGCTGAACCCGGTAAGAGAATGATGTGCATCCGGCCCGCGAGCACGTGGTTCTCATTGTTCCTTGCGCTACACAGCACCCGTTCAACAAGAAGGAGAATGCCTTCATCGTCATCATGTCCAGTGCCGCCGCGACCTCGGCGCTCGGGACCGAAGTCCTTGCTGTCCAGCGGCTGTACTACAACATCACGCCGAACCCAGGGGCTAGTATCTTCCTGCTGTTCGCTAGTCAGCTCGCCGGGTATGGGATCGGTGGACTGCTTCGCCCGATTCTGTTGTACCCCTCCAAGGTCAGTCACCTCGCGTATCAAAGATATGGATGACTGACGAGTCCCCAGATGTTGTATCCCGGCGTTCTCCCGCTCGTGTCGATGTTCGATGTCCTCTATAGGGATGCGGAAGCTGCGCAGAAGCGCGTCAAGCTGTTCTGGATCGCATTTGGCTGGTGTGTATTTTCTTCCCCCGATGAGTGGCCCAGACTAATGCTGTGTGTGTTACCACAGCATCTTCCTTTGGGAAATCTTCCCGGAATGGGTGCGTAAACGAACCTGTCTGGCCGCGAAGTTTGCGTGAACGATGTGTCCGTTACAGATCTTCCCGCTGTTGACGGGATTCTCCATCTTCTGCCTGGCGGACCAGCGATCCCCGCACTTCACACGGATTTTCGGCGGCTCGAACGGCAACGAAGGACTAGGTCTGCTCTCGATCTGCTTTGACTGGCAGTACATCTCCGGCGGAGTGAACCCCATGGCGATCCCGCTCAAGGCGCAGTTCAGCAATCTGCTCGGGTATATCCTGTGCATGATCGTCTTCGTGGGCGTGTTCTACGGGAATGTGTGGAATGCTATGGCGCTGCCCTTCGTGCGTCGCTTGGTCCTCCTCCTCTCTACTTGCTGGCTTATCTAGTCTACAGCTCTCGCAAGAACTGTTCTATGCCAACGGCACTGTGTACAACCAGACGCTGATCTTGAACGAGAACCTGGAGGTCGACAAGACCTTGCTGGCCCAGCAGGGGCTGCCGTACTATGCCTCGACTTGGGTGGTGCAACTGCTGGCTACCAACTTGGTAAGCCTCTGATACCACACCCAGGCGCGTGGGTTGGCTGACACATATCGCGGCGACTTTCTCCAGAGTATCGCAGCGACCGTGACGCATCTCCTGCTGTGGAACCGAAATGACCTGAAGGCGGCCTGGAGCTGGGCCGCGCCGTCCGCGCTCAGAAACTCGGTGCGCAACATCAACTGGCGGTTCTGGCAGGACGACGGGCTGCGCGCGGCCCCCAAAGACGACGCGAACCTGGATCCGCATTACCGAGAGATGCTCAAGTATCCTGACGCGCCCAACAGCTGGTGTGTTATCCAATCGTCTGTGCAGGATGGTGTCGATTGACACGGCCGGCCGACAGGTACATCATCTCCCTTCTGGTCTCGTTCGTCATGGGCATGGTCCTGATCTACAAAACGAACTCGACGCTGCCCTGGTGGGGATTCATCGTTTCGCTGATCCTGTCTGCGTTCTGCACGCTGTTCTTCGGCGCGCTGTACGGCATGACCGGGCTTGCGTTCATCATCCAGCCGTTTGTCCAGGTGCGTGCAGCGTTTGTGTCAGCGATTGGCGGTAGAATGCTGACATGGAGTATGTAGATGCTGGGCGGATTCATGCACCCTGGAAAGCCGATGGCCAATATGTACTTTGTGCTGTTCAGTTACAGTGAGTGGAGAGGAGTGTCTTTGCTGCTTCGGGCGAGCGCTGAATTCTGGCAGACTCGGTCACGCAGGCCCAGCTTCTGCTGCGAGACCTCAAGATCGCACAGTGTATGCACTTTGATTGCTTTTGAGCGATGCGTCATTGTAACCTTGCTTGACAGATATCAAACTTCCCCCGCGTGCAGCGTTCACAGCCCAGATCATTGGAACGTTATTTGGTGCTATTCTGAACTTTGGTCAGTGGAAAAGAATGGGATGTGTGAAGATATAACTGACACCAAAAACAGTTCTGATGAACTCGATTATCGATAACCAACGCCCGATTCTGCTTTCTGTGCAGGGGACGAACATCTGGAGTGGCCAGCAGCCGCAGCAGTACAACTCCCAGGCCATCGCATGGGGCGGACTGAGCCACGAGCTGTTTGCGGTGAACCAGCGGTACCAGTGGGTCGCATGGGCCTATCTCGTCGGGCTGGTTGTCCCGGTCCCCTTCTGGCTCGTGCACCGGTACTGGCCGAAGCTGCGCACGGACTACCTCTACACACCCATCATCTGGTGAGTCGCTGCGCCTTCGATCGATCGATCCTTGTTCCTGCGCGGATTCTGACGGGGTTGGTTGTGGAAGCTACTACATCGGCTGGCTGTGCGTGGGCATCAACTCGTCGATCACGAGCTACTTTGCGATCGCGTGGATATCGCAGTGGTACCTGCGCACGCGCTACCCGCGCTGGTTCACCAAGTACAACTACGTGCTCGCCGCGGCGCTCGACGGCGGGACGCAGGTGATGGTGTTCATCCTGTCGTTTGCGGTCCAGGGCGCGTCGGGCAACAGCCATCTGTTCCCCGAGTGGTGGGGCGCCGATCAGAATGGTGCGTGTCTCCTGTTGGAGTGAGGTGTGTGTGCGCGGCTGCTAATTGGTCGTGGATTCCAGGCAACTACGACCGCTGTGTGGTCATCCCCACGAACTAGATCGACCCCCTTAATGACTGAACGTCATTGTTGTACTTACTCACTGACACGAAAATACGAACTGAACCAAACGATTGTGGCATTCGAATGGCAGTGATGAGACGATGATGATGTACATACATTTACAAGTGTGTGGGTGGTCCTACATGCTAGTGGTGTCATGAAAGAAAGAAAGAAGCCTCCCTGCTCACTCGCTACTACACAGGAGCAGGCTTCTTCTTCTCCCCGTGCTCAAACGTCTCGACCATGCCCTTGTCGTCCTCCGCGTCATCCCCGCTGGCAGGCGACTCGGTGTTGCGCTTGATCGGCGGTGCGCGGCGGTCGCCGAGGAAGAAGCGGCCGCCGGGCGCGTCCTGCACCGCGCGCAGGATGACGTGGTCCTCGAAGAGCAGCCCGATGTCCTCGAGCGCGTAGCCGGTCGTCTCGGGCAGACACGCCCACGCCCAGAACGCCATGCACAGGCAGCACAGGCCGAAGATGAGGTACGTGCCGTACGTGATGCTGTTGAGCATGATCGGCGTCAGCCGCGACACGGTGAACGAAAACAGCCTGCGAGGGAGAGGCCAGGGTCAGCAGCGGGTAAGACGCGGGAGGAGAGAAATGCACGGACCAGTTCACGCCTATGGCGACGGACATGGCGCCTGTGCGCAGGTAGTTCGGGGCGACTTCGCCCGCGACGACCCACGGCAGTGGCCCCCATCCGATGCAGTAGAAGACAGCGTAGAGGTACACGGCGACGATCGAGACGTAGCTGGAGGGCACGATGTGGCCCTGCTTGTGGATCCCCGTGTATCCGGCGAGCCACAGCATCATCGCCCCCTGGCCCAGGCCCCCGATGATCAAACACTTCTTGCGGCCCAACCCTTCGACGGCGAAGACGAGTACGAGGAACACGGAGACGACTTTCACAGCTCCGTAGACACCTGCAAGGAGAATAACACGTGAGCTGCCACACAACTCGCCAAAAAAAACACGCACCGGTCGCCAAGAGCCCCGAGGTCGTGCTGTTGATCCCGAGGCTGGCAAAGATCGTCGGGCTAAAGTAGTTGATCGCATTCGTCCCGGTCCACTGCTGGCAGAACATCACGAAGGACGGGATGAAGCAGCGCAGCGCAATCGTGCGCGAATCGCCCATGTGCATGATCTGCTGCCACAGGGACAGCTGCGTCCGGTTCTCAAAGTCCGCCTGGATCTCCGCGATCGTGGCGAGCACCGCGGGGTCGTCGGGCGCCGTCCCCGCCGCGCGCGCGAGACTGCGCGCGGCACGGTCGAGCCGCCCGTTCTCGACCAGGTAGCGCGGCGACTCGGGCTGGAAGGGCAGCAGGAGGACGAAGAGCATCCCAGGCACGACTTGCACCGCGAACGGGATGCGCCATTGCAGATCGGACGTGGGGGCGATGTTTTTGGAGACGCCGTAATTGACCCAGACTATCGGTGCGCGCGTGTTCAAATCAGTCTCGTGCTCGGAAATGAACGAATGGGACAAGCGGGCCACGCACAGGATAACATGATCCCCAAGTTATTGGCCAGCTGGATCATCCCCGTGCACCGACCACGGATCGCGCGGGGTGTGCATTCGGAGACGTACGCGGGGATAAGGGCACTTGCGGCACCGACGCCCAAGCCCGCGAAGAAACTGGGGGGCAGATATTGTTAGTCAGAAACTTTTACGAAAAGCGTCGTCACATGGGCATACCGAGCAAAATAGAGCACCTTCAGAGCCGTCGCCTCGTTCGTTCCCAGTCCGACAACAGCCTGGATGACACTGCCGATGAGGTAGATGACACCTGCCGCCAACATGGACGGCTTGCGCCCGTATCGGTTGGAGAAGTATCCGATCCCAAGCGCCCCGAAGCTGCCGCCATTTCAATTGCGTCAGACATGATGAAACGAGGCGCATGCGGTACGCACAAGCATCCGCCCTGCAGGATAGCAACGATGTTCCCGCTCAGATTCGCCTGTCCGGACTTGCTGAGCTTCGCGACCTCGAAATACGTCTTGAAGGCCGGCAGGGAGATGACCCCGCCGATGATCCCGCTGCGCAGCGGCGGGGGGTCAGCATTGCGGACAGGAGAGACGCGCGACGACGCACATGTCCCAGCCGTAAAACAGGCTCCCCATGGCTGCCGAGAGCGACAGCAGATAGGCATTCCGGTATTGCGCGAGCTGCAGGTCCGCGCCCATAGTACGACAGTTGTGTGTGGGGTAGAGAATACCTGCACACGGAACCCCGTGGGGTAGGGTCGCCCATCTTTATGGAGTTCGCTAATGACTAGGGCGCCGGATTTCTCGCGTAGAATTTGATGAGGGGTGGTAGCGAGCCCGGCCCGCTTGGTGCCCGGACGGGGAATGACGAACTCGGAGGAGTGCCGATGTTCGAAATCATCACACGAAAGCTTCGAGGGATCTGGTGGGGGTGGTGTGACGGTGACCTCGTCAATGAAGATCCGGCAACAGCTTGCTGTGCTCGAGAATCTCGAGGACTCGAAGACGTTCGTAAAGTCTAAGCGAAGTTCGATGCCGAGTATATATGTATGCTATGTAGCACTGAGCTCGATTCATGGCTGCAGAGGTACATTCAGCTCCTTCCAGTCGGAATATTCGGGCCGTACGACAGGCTCGGAGGTCGGTCCGAATGAATCAATTATTATTATTATTCTGTGGTGTCCGTGATCATATGATACTGTGTGTTTCCCAGCACACTGGCAGAACTTGATCACATTCGGATAAGGCTGCAGTATGCCAAAGCTGGAGATCATCACATTCGCGATCCAATGGTCCACCAGCAACCAGGATCATAGAAGATGAGAACGGGCTCGGGGCATACGACGAGATGAAACATGTGTCCCCGGTTGTGACTTTCTGAGCACAAAGCGGACAGAGGCCGGTCAGCGACATTGCAAAGCGTGCAGTATGGATCCGTGTCGTGGACTGCAGACGAATAGGACGGAGTTCTTTGAGGCCGTCCCATCGAGATTCGAGCGCGCACTGCCGTGTCGAAGCTTCATTGTTACTAACCGCCACCGCTCTACTGTCAATGTCTGTGCGCCATAAGTAACTTTGGCATGAATCTTCTTCGCTTGCCAGGGCGCATCAACGCATCGAGGACGTGGGAATATGATGCCGTATCGGTGCTGATGATCAGCGATGGCCGTGGCGAGATAGTGAGGAGGGGAGGGAGGAGGGAAGATTGCAAAGCGTACAGCAGGTTTTGAACGAGCCCGGCGAATGCGATACACCATATATAGATGGCCGGTTTCAAGGTGACAGCCCCCCGAAGTAGGTATCTCCCAAGACTGCGCCCGGGATGAGCTCATCGATGAGACATCTGACACGGTTGTTGATCTTTGAGAGGCTTTGAGGTCGGCTTTCTTCCATTGGCGGCATGTTCGTCAACGCCCACAGCCGCCCTCAAGCGCCTGCAACCGAGTGCTCGGTATATTTTCACGCTTGGTCCATCGGGAAAACGGACTGCCGCCGCGGAAGGAGATTAAGCACCTCGGCCGGATTAGCGGATCTCTGACGTCCAGGCTAGATACTTGTGGTTGCATCACCGAATAGCCGCAAACCCGTGGGGGTGTAGTCCGTAGCTGTTCTGGGGTTCCTTGGCCCCGATTCTCCGCAGAAGATGTGAGCGGATGAAAACTCCGATGAACAGTAGTGGACTGTCGGCCCTTGACTTGACCGCATGTGGAACTTGGAGACATTCACGCTGATACAGATTTGATCATCTGATAAGTGTCACAAGGTGATGGATTTCGGACGCCAGCACGCGTTAAGCGCTTGGGGCCACCGTGACCGAGCGAGAACAGAACGAAGTGGAAGGCGGGGAGAGCGATACTGGATATAAGCGGTTCATCCGCGCAGGCGACGGGTGCGTGAGAGCAAGGACGAGCGATGGTCCCAGTGCGGAAAAACAATTGCAAAATTGTCACGGGTTTGGCAGTGTTTGAATCGGCAAGGTCCGGCGTGGTGAAGACGCGACGACGCGCCTTTCTCCCATCCAAGACCTCGATCTCTCTGTGCTACATTCTCGCCGTTCCTCGAGCCAAGCACGAGCACATCGACACATTTCGGGACCCCCTGCCTCACGACGCGCGCAATGGCGACGCCTTCATCCTCGGCCACGTCTGAGTCGTCGCCCACCCTCCCCTTTACGGCCCCTCTCCAGGACCCAGCCAATCCACCCCACGCTTCCGCGCAGGATGTAACCTCCAGAGCCGTTCAAAAGTTCAAGGCAAGAGCAGAGATCTCCAACGTGAGTACTCAGACGCGTCGTGCCGCGCGAGGAGGGGCAGGCTGTGTCGAGGCAACGGTGCTCAGCACCTTGCGGTCGGCTGTCGCGCCGCCACTTCGGTTTACCACCTTTAAAATTAGGTTACTGACTGCCTTATCCCTTTTCAGGTGACGCGGAATTTGCGCGCGCGTCTCTCATACGCATCGTATAAGGCGACTCACAATCTGGCCCATCTCCCTCTCCGCGACATTGAAATGCAGACTGCGCCTCAAGTGCAGCTCTACTCGCGCTCTCTCGCAGCGAAACGCAAAGCAAACTCTACCGCTTATGGCACACCGGGTGCGAACAATTACTACAATAATCCTGCCACCCAAGGTGGAGCATCGCCTGCGCCGACCTATCGCAAGCCGCCTGTGCCGGGGACGTCAATTATGGGTCGGCCCTCGTACTACTATCCGGCGAACAGTCCCGAAACACGTCCGATGACTGCTAGCCTGTTCACGTCCATACTTGCACCGCCGCCGACACAGCCGGCGCGGACGATCCTGAATGCGGCTGACCCCCCAGTAGCGCCACCTGCCAGGCCACCCGCGTCGCCCAGGACGCGCCCCAGTAAGACTGCCTCGCGTTCCCACGACAAGTCGCGCTCTGATCGGAGCCGGGGCGAGAAACCCGAGAAGCGTAAAGCTCGGCGCGCGCAAGACAAGGGCAAACACAAGCAGCGACGGCCCGAGGTCGATGCCGATGGCGATGTAGACATGAAAGCAGCTGCGACTTTGACCTCGCTGTTACTGAATCACCGGCCCTCGCTTGGCAGCCAATCATCCCCACGGTCAAGCATGGACGATTCGGACGTTGATTCGCTGCACTCCTATTCCCAGTTTGCCCAGAGCTCTGCCAGGAATGATGGCGGTGATTCGTTTAGTCCATCCACCAATGTCGCGTCGACATCCGCTGCGGGTGTGCCCAGGTTCCGGCGTGCCAGTGGGACACCGCCTCCGGGTCAGACCTTGTCTCAGACACCAGCAGCGCCGTCTCATGCTGGGACACCTCGGCCGGGCCCGACAGACAACGAGGCTGCGGATCTGATGCTTTTCCTGGCAACGTCGCCTTCCCCAGTTCGAAAAGATGCCCGGGATCATGATGCAGCGGCGTATCGCGCGCTGAATGGTGGCTCTAGAGCCAAGGGGCGTGTGTTATTCCCGAGTGCAGGCAAGCTAGAATCGCCAGAGAAACAGGGTACTGCGCTGGCTCGTGGTGCCGCAGGGGACAGCTTCGTGTCTAGCGTGTCCAGTATCGGCGGTGACGTCCACGGCACACCTTCTGCCGCGGGTTCCAGAACCTCGACACCTGTTCCGCCGGCGAAAGCGATGTCGCCGTCGCCGGCTTCACGCCCAGGAACTCCGGCGGTGGGGCCTGTCCCGGGGTCTCATTTACTTCCTTCGGCTGCATTTCCGGCGTCGGCGGCGCCATTGTCCTCAGCACCGAGCCCCAGAGCGGTCCAGGCGCAGTCGACTGTCGTTGATTTCAACCTAACCGAGTTTCTGCAACCTTCGCCATCTCGGAGCGGCACTCCTCAGACTCTTCAGCAGAAGCCGAGTCTGGGACTGCGCGCCGATATAGGCCGCAAGCTGTTTGAGGAAGAGCAGATGCGTCTTGCGATGAGCAAGCAGGCGGCGGCGAAACCGGATATGAGCATAGACCTGATGCAGAGTTCGGGATGAACTGTGGTGAGGCGGCCTGCGCGTGTTTACTATTTTCCTGATCTGCTCTGTTGTACTCCCGGACGACTCATGTCATGTATCACCAGCCCACGACCATCCATCCATCCATCCATCCATCCATCCACATCCAGGCATCTTAATGTGCGAATCTCGAAATCCGCGCTTTTGTACTATCTTCCTCAGCTGTGTCCCGCATGCGAAGGCGCCGACATAAACGAGTTATGGGCCTCCCTCGGTGTTGGTCGATTCTGCTGCTTTTTCTATCGTCTCTCGTCTCTCTCTCTATCCAGTCCTCGCGCCATCCACTTAGGATGTCGATTCTCTGTCCATACTATCTTACCATCTCCCACAATACTCCGTTCTCTTTTTGTTTAACGCCGGTTCCATCTAAGTACACTACTTACGAGTCACACGTTACGTTGTTTACGACTGGTCTGTCTGTTTTGTTTACACCAATATCAATGTCTATTAGTTTGAACTGATCGCTAAGCCTTCATTGGGCGACCGAGTCCCAATACCACCGTGGAAGGAACCCGACCCGGTCCTCACCGGCCACCACATCCGCCACGTCTGTCTCATGATCTAACAAGCGCAGCGCGATGCCTGATCGCGTAGTGAAGCTGACCCGCCAGACATCCGTTTTGTTTCCGATGCATCGCTCCTTTAGGAACGAGAGCACCGCATCGCCCCACCGGAGACACGCTGAGGGATCCCACGCGTGGGGCTTGCCGCGGACGAGTCTCGGGATCTCGACGGTCCGGAATGTCTGTGTGGTCAGCACTTCCCCCGATGGAGTTCGAAACCCGACGAGGATTTCCTGGCGGGTCTTCAATGTCAGACACGATCAAGAGGAAAGCACTGTACGGGAACGCCCAGGAGGAAGGATTGCATGTAGAACTTGAGCAGTTTCCTGAGGAGGAAGGATCTCAGTCGAGAACGGGAACAAGATCGCGGGAGCGCTACTTCTCGAATCGCGCTTCATCTTGCGCGCCCCGGATCGAAATCGACGTTTTGAGCTCGACGAATGTGTCCGTCTTGCCCGTGTACTTGTCTGGATCGCACCTCAGCAGTGATCACTCGCGCTCACTTGCGAACAACTGACCTCTAACACAATCGACTTCTCCCCCTATGACTAGTCTTGTGTTCCCCAGCTTCGTGCGCACGACGCTGCACCACTGCACATTGGTGTCGACGTCCCCACCCCAGCCGACGGGATCATTCGGGCCTTGCGGTGGATTGGGACTATTCCGAGGCGCAGAGGATGTGCAGTAAGACTCGAACGAATAGCCAAAGTATGTCTGCCGCCGCTGTCTCGGGTTGAGGTCATTCCTGAGATGCGAATGGGTCAAGAAATTGAACGATTACTGACGAGTTCACTTACTTTGCCTGGAGACAGGCTTCATCTCTGTGTTCCTCGAGATACAGCACGCCATTGACACACATGACATTCATCAGCCATCCATCCGACTCACGTTCCTCGTACGGTGCTGTCAAAATGCTCTTCCTCGCATCAATATACGGAGAAGAGGAGGGAGAAACCACACATGAACATACCGAGTGAGCACGCCACGCCACGCGACCGCACCGACGCCAGAGCTTAACGCCAGATGTTTCTTGTCCTGGACTGCGGAGAGCGCCCTCAGAAGCCCGTCAATACGCGACCGCGCCTCGGGACGCCGGTTCCACCGGTCGTACCCATGTCCCAACTGGGCTCGGGGCGGTGGCGGTGCGAGGTATCGCAGAGCAGAGTCGTTAAATTCGAGTTCGTGCTGGTCATTGTACGAGAAAGATATCAAGGGTGTGGGCTGTTGGAAAGGAGGACTAGGTCCCGCTGGAGGAGGCGAGCCGGGAGTGAGCAAGGAAGGGTAGGCGAGCTGAACGGAAGGCGCTGTGATTTGCTGTCGCGCAGGAGATGGACCTGTCGGCTTCAACGAAGAGAGCGAAAGTTTCCGTTTAATGGTGCTTGGTTCTGGTACGGCCTCTGGGTCAATCTGCTCGAGAGTTCTTTTCGACATGGAGGGCCAATCCAAGTGTGATACCAGTGTGTATTAGAGGCGATCGGATGTGGTAGAGCGATCCGATCAATCACTTGCTGAAAAGTTGGCTTAGATCTTGCTTGCACTCTCATCCGCCATGTCAACCGCGTCATCAGCCCCCCCGTCCTCGTCCGTGCTCTTCGCGCGAGGCGTGCTCGCCCGCCTCAATACCTGGGAAACGCTGCGGATCGCAGTGCAGGAAGGCTGGGGCGGAGCAGGCGCCGTTCAAAAGCGGACATACCTTGCCTCCGCGATCGTCGACGCGTTCGAAGAGACCGTGCCCACCCCGGACGACCAATATGTCGAAGAGATGATGCTGCAGTACCTTGCTGACGAATACGACACGATGGTCGAAGATGGCAGCGCCGAGCCGGTTGCAGTGGACATCGTTAAAATGTGGGATGCCACGAGGACCGGGAAGGACGAGCTAGTCGTCAAGTTCGAACTCAAGGCAGAGTCTCTCAAGGGGAAAAAGGCAGTGGCCCAGGAGGGCCCGAAAAATGATGACGATGAGTGGGACGACGAGGACGACGAGGGTGATGATGAAGAGGACGATGGGATGGACGTGGACGAGGAAGCGCCACAATTAATCGAACGCAAACGGGAAGAACCTGTTGTCGACGAGGATGGATTTACGCTCGTCAAGGGAAAGAGCAAAAGTCATAGATAGTCAGTCGGTCCCCATTACATCTAATCTTCTCTCCGTTTTCTCAACCTGTGTTCACCGAAGGTCTACAACATCTCTATCTTCGTTCTCATCCATCACAATGTTATGGAGAAAGATCATCTATCGCTTTGGTTGCAGTTGCTTTGCTGTCCGTTCTTCGAAGGGGCCCTCGTTGGCCTATACGAGATTGACTCAATCCTAAACTTCGAGCCACCAGTTTTCGAAACAGTTCGAGTTCGAGAGACTCGGTTTTTACCCCAATCTCTGTAAACCAGACGGCTGGGTACGATTCCGGTTCCGCATGGCCACCATCTGCCACTCGAGATGCAATGTGCTCTTTGAATGGTAAACTCTAGAATTTAGCCGTACACATCTGTGATTTATTCTCCAAGTTTGTTGTCGTCACAAGCACGTCCGATGCTTTCAAATGCAGACGAACAATACGTCGACTGTCGACTTCTGCCGATGGACTCTGGCTTTCGATCCTTGACACAGAGCAAAGGCTCAGGATAGTTCCATTACGAAAGGAAGATGCGCACCGGACTGAAACCAGCTTCTGTCGTTCAAATTCCAGCCATTGGTGATCGTCCACGGGTCTCAAGATTCCTTGGATGATGTACTTCCCCTCAAGGCATCCATTCTGAAGTCGAGCGATGTCAGCGCGGAGCATCACCAGGGGAGAGAGAAAAGGGCACCTGATTTTGAGATCCCTCATCCAGCGTTTCTCTTGCACTGACCCATTGCACGCTGAGCCCTTGAGGGGCACTTTGGCGCATCTCACAGACCAATCGACATATGTCGGCGAATGATATGGGGCTTCCGTTCATGGTGCCAATCAGATCAGGTGCGAAAGTTGCTTCGATGGCCCGGAAGCTCCGGTCATCGGTGGCCGCCTCGAAGATGTCAGAGATGTGGGCTTTGGACCACGCTTCCAAGGAGCTGAGCATGAGATGGCACGTTGGGGTGCATTGCAGACATTATGTGCATATATGCGGGGCGGATACCAGCCGAAGGTTTCAAGTTAGAGGGAGGCTCATCGCATACGTGTATATGTACATGAGCTTGAGCTTGAGGCGGCATTGAATCGATAGAGTGGCCAACAGAATTCAATGAAAGTTGAGGATTACATCCAGGTTGTTAGCTTCCTAGATAATCGCTTCGGTTGCATGTGGTCAACGTGAGAGTAGAAGGAAGGTCACCCGTGACCTAGATCACCAAATGGGGAATCACAAGGGCTCGAGAGCTGAGCGTCTTCTTCTCCGACTATGAATGTCCCTGGAGCCATCATCGGACTCGTAGTCACAGACAACGATGCCCGTCTAGTGAGAGAGACTATTCAGCAGAATAATGAACTCGTTGCCAGGTCTGTAAAGACTATGTTTTACGATCACATCCAGAACGAACCCTCTCCAGTCTCGATGCGGAGATTGCCAAAGCCCAGGCTGCCCTGCAGGAACTTCTGAAACAGCGCACAGAGGCGCACCGACTTCTCTCAAGCAGCGCTGGGCCGTCGGAAACTGAAGCAATGTCTATTCGAAATGTCATCCTCACGAAAGAGGCGCATGTCGCGCGGCTGCAAGGGAAGATCGCTAATGCAGAGGACGAGCTTGAGATCTTGATGCAGAGGCGGGAACGTGATCCAGGGAACGCTGAAGATGCAGGGAGCGTGGATTCAGAAATTGCGCATACACGAGCAATTCTGAACGGACTGGTCGCAGAGCACGCTGAGCAATTCGCAGCGCTAGAAACGCACCGTGCCCTCCTCTCTCCCATTCGCTCTCTTCCTGCAGAAATCCTCAGTGAGATATTCACCCACTGCCTTCCTCGAAACACTTTCCGGCAGCCGTCCGTGCGCAAATCGCCACTGCTCATCTCACGCGTGAGTCGAACCTGGAGAAGTGTTGCATTGAGCACACCAGTCCTCTGGGCCTCCCTTACTATCAAAGTCTCCGTCGACTCCTGTGTCCCGAGCCTTCCCATTGTCGCGACCTGGCTGTCGCGCACGGGCTCGTGCCTGCTTTCGTTTTCCATCACGGAAACCATCCAAAAGGATTACTACGAAGAGGGGATGATCACATCTGCGCGGGTATTGGATCTTTACGCTCCGCACTACCGACGATGGCAGAATGTGCAGCTCGAGTATCAGGATTGGCGAATCGATACTGGCCTTTCCAGGCTGCCCCGTGACGCACCCCCAGGTGTTTTGGAGCGTCTTCATCTCGTGCGGGATTTCTGGCGGACGAACGAGTTCGTTAATGAGCGGACGGAAGAGGAGAAGCAACTCATGTTGCTTCTTTCAGCACCGCGGTTGCGGGAGTGCACCTGGACAAGCAACACCGATCTGAGTGTGTATTGTCCACCATTAGCCCAACTTACGAAGCTCTTTCTTGAGCGGCCCATTTCATCCGAAGAGTTCCTACGTATCCTGCGGGACGGGGTCAACATCGAAGAGGCGCAGTTCTTCGTGCTAACATCTCCAAACACGGATGCAGACCCGCCTGTGTTGCGACACAATCTGATGGTGCTGGAGCTTACGGCAGATCTGTGCGGGCGCTTATTCCACCGCCTGGAACTTCCCCGTCTGCAAAGGCTCTCAATCCGGGGCATTGGCATCATCGCGGCGCCAGTGTGGCCACATGAAGAGTTCATTTCGATCCTTGCCAGGTCCAAATGCTCGATACATGCGCTCTCCTTGGCCGATATGGACATGACGCCTGCCCAAATGGCCGAGTGTCTGCAGCAGGTGTCTCATTCACTATCCTCGCTGACGCTGACCAATGAACGCCGTATGGCACACACCATCATCGACGAGCGCGTGCTAAGTCTTCTCACGTGGAAATGCGATGCCGCCGGCCAAAACATCTGCCCCAATTTGACTTTTCTCAAAATGTGGGATTGCGTCCAAGCGCCGGATGGAGCATTGGCTGATATGATTGAGTCGAGATGGAGGAAGCACGATTCGAACGGTCCCCAAAAGTCTCTGACCATCGCCTTTCTTATGGTCGAGCGCTCAAGCCATCCTCATGATATGCATCGGCTCCAGGCGCTGAATGACGAGAGGATGGGAATCAGCTTGTTGTTTAGAAACTAATCTAATCTGCTCATCAATCAAAGTGACTCACCGCACGTGACCGTGATTCGACGCGCTTCCGACGCTTCAGTCTTTCAATAAATAACCCTCTTCCTTTTCACGCCTCATCTTTGACCCACCATGTATCCCACCGAACAAGAACATGCAGTGATTCTCGCTGCCGAGAGAATGATGGAAGAGGTCATGGCGCGCTACGATCCATCACACGACGCATACCACGGTGGGCCGCACTATCCTTCGATGATCTTTCTGCGGCTGATCTATGAAAAGTCCAACGTGTGCGCAAAACCGCACTAGCGATCGCGAGAGCCGTCTCGCCGCAACCGGATCTGCTTGTGGTGGAACTGGGTGGGTCGCGGGGGCACGCACCATGCCGCAAGCTGCGACATCGCTGACGCGTCTCCTGCCCCAGCTGCACTCCTGCACGACGTCTTGGACAAGAAGTATGTCCCAGCAGACCAAGCGGCGGACCCCTATGCCTTCTTCCTTCCCTTCTTCGAGGATCTGGCCACGCAACACCCGCCCCTCGACCTGGTCAAGGACGGGCGTGCGCGTCTGATTGCCCAGGTCATCGAGCACGTCAGCTGGTCTACCGAGACCAAGCTGCGCAAGAACGGTGGATGGACCGAGTGGCACGACTCGTGTGCTGAACTGCACTGTGAGCAGCGACTTTCGAGGTTCGGAAGACAGAAGCTGATTGACGGTGCCAAGGCGTCCAGGATGCGGATAGATTGGATGCGATTGGGGCTTTCGGTCCTCTCCTCCCTTGTTTCATCCTGCCCCCACTGAATCACGCGGCCCGTCACTCTAGGGATCCTCCGATGTGCCGCATACAGCGCTGCGGTCAACAGGTATGGGACCGATCTCACCATGTTCTTCCGCGCTGATGCAGCGCCGATTAGCCCGTTGCATGTTCCATCAGACGACTCTAAATTAAAAGCATCCGCTATCCAACATTTCCACGACAAACTCGTCCTGATTAGGGACCGTCTCAAGACGGAGCCTGGGAAAAAACTGGGAGCGAAGAGGCATAGCGTGGTATGTTACAGTGTGCAACTGAATCGCGCCGGAGCTTAACTGACGATGCGTAGATCGTGGCCTTCATCGAGTCGGTAGAAGAAGAGTATCGTCCCGAGCTGGCAGATTTGTGAGACGATGCCATGTGGAATTTCTCCGACCAGTGAGCCACGAATCTTTTTGGATACCTTTCTCTTGTGGGGTCCATCTAATATAGTCAGCATTGAATTTTGCCCTTGGCTTCCAAATTTTCCGAACTCGAAACTGGGCTGAGAAGAGAGTGAATCCGCCACCAGAGAACATGTCAGATGTGCACATCAAGAAATTCGGTTGCAACAATCAGCAAAACACCTTATTTGACTGGGCGATTTCGGCCCCATTTCTCAACAAAATCAGTAAAACTCAGTTCTGCAACAGTATTATGAACACCGAGAGAGACCTGTCCGCCAATATTGCAATTATCGGCAAGCGTCACCGGCGACATCATTTTCAAGCAGCGCACACCACTTTTTCTTGCCCTCATTTTTGCTCGAGCGAAACGACCTGACGACCGCGCCATGAACCGCGCCATTTCCGCCAGTCATATTGAACGCGTGAATCAGATTTCGGCGAGCATCGCCATGTCGACTGTCGAGGCCCTCGATGCCAGTTTCGTGGTGCAAGTCAGTTGGCTCTGGCAAGCCGGGGCCAATGCTCTTCTGAATACCATCCATAGGAAGCCCTGCCGCGCAGGAGATGCTACAGATTGGGGAAAAGCAGCAACCAGGTCATCTGGCCGCCGCACTTGTATGTCCGTCCATTTAATGGCGCTGTCTCGGTCTCACTTGTGCGCGCAGGGACGCTGCTCTTGTCAAAGGTGTTTATCTTGAACATATGCATATCAACACTCCAACCCGTCGTTCTCCAGGACTGTATGCATATAATGCTGAGCACTTGCGGCAAGAGAGCCAGCGCGAGTCGTGTGATCGGGCCAGCACCGCAAAGAAGAAGAAAAGATTCCGCGCAACGTCTTTGTGTCCAATATCATTCTCCAAGAGACGAACGAGCTGAGGACTTCGAAGCAAGTTTCGAGCCGGCTGCGTCAAATCCAGGCGAGGGCGAAGGATCAACGAGGTGCGCAGTCGAGCTCCGTCGGTGGTGGCCCTGACTCTTGGCAGTCGTGGATCTGCTCAACGGACATGCGTTCTACGAGATCCCCGCCCCCGAAGCAGCGATCGCGGAGTCCCTGAGCCCTATCGGCACCGCGCCTATGCAAGTCGCGATCGTGATCGCCGCCCGCAGCGCCCCATTCCCTTCCCAGTGCCCGGCGATCAGTCTGGAGACCAGCACCTCGCAGCAGACGATCGGCCTGCGCACGATGATGCAGTGGCGGCCGTCGACCTACGCGTACCGGGGCATGGACACCTCCGTCGACCTGGTCTCTCGCGTCCGCCTCGCTCCGGAATCGGACATCGCGGTCTTCCGGCACGGCGAGCTGCTCTGGGCCGGATCAATCGTGATTACGCCCGCCGGGAGAGTGTCGGATCTGTGGCGATACGCGTGTGTCCTGTTTCCGCAGCGCAGAGGGATCTGGGAGGCGGCTGTGTGCAAAGCGAGCACCGGTGCGTGCCGATGTTGACTGCGATCCGGCGTTGCTCGTCTGACTTTTGCGCGCGCGCGTGCTAGGATTGACGATCACGCAGACGGTGTACCGCGAGCCGGGGACGTGGACCGGACCCTACGCCCAGCTTGTGTATGAGTTTCAACCGCAGCCGTCAAGGCGATGCCAGCGGATGGTCAGCTTCGCACCGGGACTGCTTCGCCAGGCGTTGGAGGCGGGGATGATGGCCCCGTCGGTGTGTTATGTTCAGATCAGAGTGGATACACAATTTGGTGACAGTGGTGACCTAGACCCTCCAATTCCGCCCGTACCAGGTCGCTGGAACTCGTCCACAACTCGAGCCGGCGCCGGGACCTGGCTACGTGCTAGTGCGTAACAACAACATGTGTCAGGGACACTGACTGAATGCACAGACCACTGTCGTAAGATCGGAAAACGAAGCCGGGGAAAACCCACCACCCGTTGGGTATCAGGCTGAGCTTGGCTTCGCACTGGTGCAAGATAATTCCCAGGATCATACTGTAATTTTCCTGTCTACAGCGCGTAGGATTTACACTCACCAAGCAGCAGAACATCGCCGTCTACGAAGAACGCTATGATTTGCCGTATGTGCAATATCGCGCCAGCTATTGATGCGTGATGCGCAAATGTTGAAAATATGAAAATTTGTATATTTTGTAATTACGATGCTATTCTATTCGAAGTTTCCTCGGGCCCATCCTCCTTCTTGGCGCGGACACTCGCGATTTCGACGACGTTGAACTTGTGCAACCGATTATATTCGCGCACAACCGACACACCGCACACGCTCTGGTAAATCGTTGATCAAAATCACACTCGCGATGTACGCCGGCAAACCTTGAACAATTCGACCAAGACGAACACGTCCGGGTTACTGAGATCGACCGAGTGGCCTTCCGGAACACATTTTGCGATCGCTTCAATTAGCGTGTCGCGCGGTATAGTCGTGTGGTTGCGCATCTTGAGCTCGATCTTGTACTGCAACCGGATGACGTCAGGACTCCCCACCCTATGATTTTCCCCGCAGAACTGGCCTTCAATTTTTCCTCCTTGAACACGGGCTCGAACAGTTTGCGGCAGACGGCCTCGATTTCGGGCATGTTCGTGACCGAGCTGGCGGAGACGGGGCAGAAGCGGAGGCAGTGGCGCGTGCGCGTGATCCCCGTTTTCGCGACGTCATGCAGGTATCGCATGACGAGCGCGACGGGATCGACCGGTGATTTGCAGGATATGAAGATCACTGCGGGAGGGGATCAATCGGGTGTGGGTCAAGTGAATCAGCGGAAGACGACTGACGGCAGGGGGTATTGGTCTGGCAGTTTGCTGCTCGATATGTCAAGACAGATAACGGATCGCGCTGGGAAGTTGATGTTCACCGAACCGTTGTTCCGCTTTCGGTTTCTTCATCGCAGAAACTTCATTCGCGATCTGGGCCTCGATGCTCAGCTCTTCCTCGTCCTCGGCATCATCCGACTTTGTATCCGCAGCGTCTTGTTTCTCGGGCCACATCTCTTCAGCCAGCTGCACAGGGAATCAATACCGGGCCGATTTCAGAGAAGGCGTGGGTTGATTACGGTGTTGAACAGGTCGTATATCTCCCCGACAGCTTGCTTTTCCTTGCCTTTCGCGCCTGAAACAATAAATTTTTTGAACCAAAGATAAAGACAACCCCGGATGCACATACAAGTTACCCAGATCCCCGGTCCGTCAATAAAGCGTTTGCCCCAGATTGGGGTCCCATCCTGCCTGCCGCGTCAGTCCGTCGTCTTCTTTGGGAAACACGGCGGTTCACATACAGAGCGGTATTTTTTCTTGCGCCTGTCGCTCCCGCCTTGAGATGCGCTGCTTCGTTTCGCAGCGCCAGACATGGAAGTCGAGATGAGCCAGTCGATCGATGAAAGCCGTGGGAAGATCAACACGTGACTGTTCCACGGCCACCGAACTCTGTCACGTGCGAAGTACAACTTTGAACGAACGCGATATTATTTCGTGCCCCGGATAAATCTTGCCTGTATGCTGTCGCGTTCCATATGTTTCACATGGATCTGAGAAATATGCTACTATTTTATTCTGCTGATCGACGTGCGTAACAATTCGAGTAGTAGTTGTTACATAAACCGCCAAGCCCGGCGTTCTTCATGGTGCTCTGTAGAAGTGAGACCGCAGCTACTCAAGATTCCAGGGGGACACTTGGAAGGAAGGCTCTCTTTCTTTGGAAAATAAGAGTCATAGGAAACGACTGCTGTCTGATGCAGGGCTCGGAATCTCAGCCTCGCCCCGCCGACTGTTCAGGCGCGTGCCTGACTGACTTGCGGGATGAAAGTTGGCCGGCCCAGGTGCTATGTAGATGTCTATCCTATCCAAGCGCGGGGACGGATCACCGACTGGAGAAGACGGATCCCGGAGTCGCAATGGTTATTACGCACGAAGTCTGGGCCGACTCGCAGTCTCATGGATGTACCATCGAGGGAGGATCCGATGGAAGCAAGGTGGGAGCGCTGGCTGATGCACGCGCGAAAAGTTATGGCTCATGGGCGTCGCCCGAGTCTGCGG